GAACAACCATTTCCATGAGCCATTGTTTGATCACTTTAACATTTCTGCTTTCAGATTGTTTTCTTTATTATTTTTTATATATCTCCTTCTTAATATGTAGCCAATGGCTTTATGTTAAAACAAAATCATTTTATTTTGGTTCTAATTCAGGGTTTCCTAATCGTTTCTATATTCCTTGCCCCTAAGAATTGTTTGACTGAGTCTTGAACACTTTACATAATTATCAATGCATTTTAAAGTAGAAAACAAAATATTTTTAATCACGTTACCTCGCACTAACTGAAATGGTATCTTGCATCCCCTGAGGGTTTTTGCAACCCAGTTTGGGAAACCCTGTTGCCTGATTTGTGGCAAGGGTCAAGGTCATTTAGTTTCAAAGCTGTTTAGTGCAAAATAATATTCAAAGAATTATTGCTGTTATTGTTAACTTACATGGACACAAAGAAATATTGCTGTCATTGTTAACTGATATGGACACAAAGAAATATTGCTGTCATTGTTAACTGACATGGACACACGAAACACAATGGTCTAATACTATAAAGATACAGGCTTGTGTTAGTCCTGTATGCCATGTGATTTGCTCCTGTTCCAATCATTAAATTAGCCCACCGTTGTCAAATAAACTTCAAGATTAATTTCTATGTTAATTCATTCATAATTTTGGTTTAAAAAATGTATTGCATCACATCAAATGTGTGGGCATTTAGTCATGGCTTTAAATGTGTGGGCATTTAGTTGTGGCATTAATTGACACATTTAAACCACGAGTTGAAATGTTCAATTTTTCCTGAATGTTACAAAAATAAAAGAAATAGAAAGTAATTTAAATGTTTATTAGTGTTAGATTTACACGTTTATCTGTTCAGTATCAATTTACAATGGAATTAAAAGCTTTGACTGTTATTTAATTTAAGATTAAGTTAAATAAAATACTCTGCAAGATTCGAAAGAGGAATGGAAATGTAAAATTTTTTTTAGATGAACTTTGTGATTGAATTCTGAATAAAACATATTAACCTAGAATAACAGACTAATTACCAGGTCAAGGTTTCTTAAACTGTGCTCTGAAAAGGTGTCAGGAGTCAGTGAGTTGCATTTCCTTTGGAATTTTATTATTTTTATCTTCAATTAAATACTTTACTAAAAGGGGTCTGTGGCCTTCATCTGACAGGTAAAGCTGTCCATGGCCTTCATCTGACTGGCAAAAGAGGGTCTAGACCAGGGGTCGGGAACCTGTGGCTCTATTGATGGCTGCATCTGGCTCGCAGACAAATGTTCGATTATTTAAAAAAAGTCCCATTAATGGTAAGAAATACTCATTGATTAGCAACAGCATAACAATGTTATTGGGTGCTGGGTGGCCGAGTGGTCTAAAACTGAGCAAATCTCAAGTTGGTGGTCTGGAGTTCAATTAGATGGGTAGTTCAGGTAGATGGAACCCGTTAATCTTAGATGGCAACTCATCTTACTCTGAAATCACACCCGGAGATGGAGTCCCGAAAGGTGGATAGCATTGGCACAATGCAACATTCCGACAACTCCTGCGACGTCACTGGTGCCAAGCTGTATCATCCAATGATGTTCATTCCCTTGGGTTATCCAGCGGGGTGGAGAGTGGCGATTTGCTGTTGGGAGCCCCAAGAATTATCCCAGTCCTTGTGGATTTCGACCTCCAAAGCCAACACCGTCACATTGTGAAGGACGGATGCCAGCAGCAAACAATGTTATTAAAAAGACTTCAGAGACATAATTATTGCATTTTTAGTGTTGAAATTACACCAAATGTACACATTTACTTGAATTTTTAGTTTTAAACATAATGTATGGCTCTCACAGAATTACTTTTCAAAATATGTGGTGTCCATGGCTCTCTCAGACAAAAAGGTTCCCGACCCCTGGTCTAGACTAAAAATGTTACGAATCCCTGCTCCGAGTATTAAAGTTTAAGTATAAAAAAAACAGCCCACATACTCATGATAGCAAACATGGTCTTTACTGATTTAATGCTCTTAGGTTTCCAAATTTAACTTATTCATATCTAGGATGATATGATTCATGTTGGTTAATTGCACAATTTGAAATGTACTTTAAATAAAAAAGCAATTGTCTCTCAATTACTGTTGCATCACTGTATGATGATTATATGTTATTTTATAAATTGTAGTGATTATAAAATAAAATAAATGCTAAAACCTATACAATTCTTCATGCTCAGTTTTAATGTCAGAATAGTTGACTGAACTCTTGATCTATCAGCAAGTACAATGTGTGAGCCAATGCACATGTAGGCTACTTAACCTACTGACAGCCACAGCTATCTACTCTACTCTTCCTCCCACCCTAAATCCTGTATAGACTCTATTCCCTTTTCTAAATTTCTTCGTAGAATTAGCCAGTGGGAGGATGACTTTTGGGACAAAGCACTGGAGATAAACGACTATTTCCAATGAAGTTCTCACCCGGAGACAGAACTTGCATCAGCCCTTTACAAGGTGAAAAATTTCACCCGTGCTGATGCCTTCAAGCCATGTCCAAGTGACAATCTTGACAGGACCTAAGTTATTCTCACGTAACATCCTCACAATCTAATAGCCAAACGTGTCTTCTTTAAAAACCGTGCAATTCTCCTCGCCGACACACTTGTCATTTTCTCTTCCCCGCCTCTCATTGTTTTCAGACGTGATAAAAATCTGCTAGACATTCTTGTGCATAGTCGCATCAATGCTGCCCCCTACCCACTTTGGGACCAAGCAACATGGACCCAGTCGTTGCAACACTTGCTTTTTTTGCCATCCTCATCCAGATTCAACACATTCCCTTCCCTAATGGCAGTTTTCAGATAAGGGAGGGTTTCCTTTGTATTAACCGCAATGTTGTCTACACCATTGTTTGTGCACGCTGCCAATGTCGTTCATAGGGAAGACAGGACGCCCACTCTCTGACAGATGTACTGAACACCTCCGTAATATTACGCAGCATAAAGTGTCCCGTCTCTAATTCAATAGGAGAGACCACAACGGTTCGTCTGATTTTACAATTGTGCGATCGTGACCAGGACTAACACACCCAGCCAGGTGAAATATGGAAAACAAGCTGATCAATACTTATGGAACCTTAACACCCCTTGACATGAATGTCATGTTTTCATTCACATGATTAGCTTTTGCTCTTCTCCTCCATGTCACGACCAATTGCAGTGGACTTATTTCTTCTCTTTACTTTACCTTTTTGCCATTATTTAATCTCTCACCTATTTATTTTCTGTCACAATTCTTTTGCTACCCTCTCGGATACGACTTTTCAGCCAAGTGCTATTTTAAAGTTTTGTATTCTGTAAGTTTGTTCGCTGACGAAGACTTCCTGCCGACACGTTCTTTGTTTCATCGTGTTTCTTTTCGCTAACCTAATTGCAGTCTTCCCCTTATTACCTTAAAGTGGCTTTAGTTGGATAGACTAAGACGAGAGTTCCTATTGTAACCTTTGGTCCCAGACACTTCTAAATGATCACAATTAATTGGTCCCAGAAAAAAGTCCCAGACACATTTAAATGCTCACATTTGGTACCGGTCCCGAGACAAGTCCCTGACACTTTTCAGTGCTAGCAATTGGTCCGAGAGACTAGTACCCGACACTTTTAAATGCTCACTATTGGTCCCAGAGACTAGTACCTGACACTTTTAAATGCTCGCAATTGGTCCCAGAGACTAGTACCTGACACTTTTAAATGCTCGCAATTGGTCCCAGAGACTAGTACCTGACACTTTTAAATGCTCGCAATTGGTCCCAGAGACTAGTACCTGACACTTTTACTAAGTCCATTTTTTATCAACTAATATACAGATGAGAATCTAATTACAAGTCATAAATCATCTTTCATTTGGCTGTTTGATTAAAAAGTTGTCTAAAAAAACAACCTTTATAAATTCTAAACCAGATTATTTTGTTTTTTTAACAAATTGATTTACATAATTCCAAGATTTATACATATAAACAGAGCAAATAAAGCTTGTTAACATAAATTGTTTCCATATCAGATGTGGCTTGAGCTATTCCTAATATAGAGCAAATGTGGATTGAATAACCATTGATATTAAATCAATATTAGTGGTACACTACTTTCTTGACAAAGTGAACAATGTGAGAAAGGTGTGTTGTATATAATAAGGTGTGAGCCTCTAAACCAATGAAATCTTTTTACCTAATCTATTGTAAGCTTCCTAGAATCTTCTTACCTAATCTATCGTAAGCTTCCTAGAATACTATTTAGTATTATTAGAAACCTGACTGGAAAGATAATAGTTGAATTTCAAAATCAAGGATGGTGAAAACTAAGTTACCAGTCTGTGGTAAAAGAAAACGCCTGTGTCAGCTTGAAGGTAACAATTTCATTGCACCTTCAATAAAAAATGCAACATTTATTTAATAAATAATTATCAAACGTGTACAATGTACAATATGTACAGTTTACCATCAATAGCGCACAATATGTACAGTTTACCAAATGTCACAGAATATGAATGAAATCATGAAAAGGGCGTGATTCCTTAAGACTTAATATTTTTGTAGACTTTGCTTACAAGAGAGTTAGCTTCTGGCAGCATACAAGAGAGATGAAGTTAGCTTCTGGCAGCATACAAGAGAGATGAAGTTAGCTTCTGGCAGCATACAAGAGAGATGAAGTTAGCTTCTGGCAGCATACAAGAGAGATGAAGTTAGCTTCTGGCAGCATACAAGAGAGATGAAGTTAGCTTCTGGCAGCATACAAGAGAGATGAAGTTAGCTTCTGGCAGCATACAAGAGAGATGAAGTTAGCTTCTGGCAGCATACAAGAGAGATGAAGTTAGCTTCTGGCAGCATACAAGAGAGAAGAAGTTAGCTTCTGGCAGCATACAAGAGAGATGAAGTTAGCTTCTGGCAGCATACAAGAGAGATGAAGTTAGCTTCTGGCAGCATACAAGAGAGATGAAGTTAGCTTCTGGCAGCATACAAGAGAGATGAAGTTAGCTTCTGGCAGCATACAAGAGAGATGAAGTTAGCTTCTGGCAGCATACAAGAGAGAAGAAGTTAGCTTCTGGCAGCATACAAGAGAGATGAAGTTAGCTTCTGGCAGCATACAAGAGAGATGAAGTTAGCTTCTGGGCATTGAACATAAATAGAGATAGATTCCTCTTGGAGACTTAAAGAAACATATCATGCTCTTTGGGGAACAAATAATCTATACATTAAAAAAACTGTTTTAGTTAATCCACTTCCAGCTGTTAGGTTTCCTTACAATTTATCAGAGATTTCAATATCAACATTGTCTTCAACTTACTCAACTACTCATAATATAATGCATGCTTTAGTAACCCATCAATAGCCATCATCAATACAAATGTTCATCATTTAATGCATGCTTCAGTAACCTATCAATACTAATGTTCATCATTTAATGCATGCTTCGGTAACCTATCAATACAAATGTTCATCATTTAATGCATGCTTCAGTAACCTATCAATACAAATGTTCATCATTAAATGCATGCTTCAGTAACCTATCAATACAAATGTTCATCATTAAGTGCATGCTTCAGTAACCTATCAATACAAATGTTCATCATTTAATGCATGCTTCAGTAACCTATCAATACAAATGTTCATCATCTAATGCATGCTTCAGTAACCTATCAATACAAATGTTCATCATTTAATGCATGCTTCAGTAACCTATCAATACAAATGTTCTGTTCATCATTTATCATTTTGTTGTTGAATTCAAACTGATTAAAGTCACGTCAAGTCATCAACTATTTGGCACATCATTTTGTCCAGACTGTCACAGGCCTCAGCATCCATAAATTCCATTTTGATATCGGCAGCTTGGCCCATGGAATCTGATTCTGACAAGAGATTCGAATCCAAACTCACATCATCAGGAATGGCATTAACAGCAGACTGAATGAGATCCATTACCTGGAGAGTTTTCAAACAAAATTATCTAAAATACTAAAAGCTATTTTCATTTCAATTCTATAACTTTCAAATATTTTATATTCTTCATTCCTCACCGGAGAACTTGAAATATCTTGATCCTTCCTGATATTGAAAGGTACCGATAATGTGAATATAGCTTCCAGCATACCAGCACTTTTTTAAATGATGGTATTATTTATAAAAGTGGAAAAATTAATAAAGAAAATTTTGTTTTTAAAAATTTTAAAGACTTTCTATCAAAGACAAGTTTAAAGACTTTCTATCAAAGACAAGTTTAAAGACTTTCTATCAAAGACAAGTTGAAACGCACTAAAAAGTAGAACATAATTTACAATTTCTTAAAATGCATTATGCAATAAAGAGTGTGTAGAAGTGTAGATGAGTATCCTATGAAGTCAAAGGATTTGAATTGAATGTAGATGAAACTTAAATGTTTCATTTAAAAAAATTTTTGAAAAACAATTCAACGACTTCCTTTGCGTAATTATTTTTAGAAATTTAAAATTATTTTCTACTTTTTAGTGCATTTAAATTCATCTTTGATAGAAAGTCATTTAAAAAAATTATTTTTATATTTTTTATTTGCAACTACTTACATTAAAATTTTAATCTGTATATTATAGACATTCCAATAGTTGTCACAACACACACTGTTTCAAGCACTCGGGTAAACCATAGCAAGAGGGCATCATGTGATTTCCTAATCACTCACGACCCCATCCCCACTACCCAGCATACAGCAGCCTGAGTCTTATTGCCGTGTGCCCTGCCCTTGACCTTTCTGAAAAAACCCTCTCCCAAAACCCTAGAGCTCTCATCTGAACTCCACTAACCACCCTTCTCACGGCGATCATGGGGTGAGCACTACAGGAGACAGATGATCAACTGAGCGATAGTCACATATCAACAACAAAATTACACTTTGAAAAACAAGATGGAACAAAGAAACATATATGTACAAAAAAATGTATAAGATGACTCAATGAGCTTTTAGGTCTACTTTTTCTTTTCTTTAACTTATGACTCATTGGCATTTCCAAATTTAAAATAAATGAATAGTAATTTAATAATATTTACATACTTTATCAAAGAATTTAAGTTAAACCATCTTTACATTTACATACTTTATCAAAGTGTTCTTGGAATTTCTGGGCTATTTCCATTCTCTTAGATCTCTGTAGTTCCAACATTACTCGCAATGTTTCACGGGCCTGATGTGGTCTAGTATGGAAATATATATATATATATATATATATATATATACATACATATATATAAACATATAAATTTTAAAATAAATTTTAACCAATAAAAATCACATTCACAGTGTAATATAGATTAAAATATGTGACAAATGATCAAATTTTGACTGATATGAAATAAGTACAAGCTATCAGGAAGTAAAGATTAACCATACGGCGAAGTAAATAGTGTGGAGTGTTCAGACCTGGGGGTACAGGGGTGGGGGGAATCCCACAGCAGGGTACCGACCAACTGACCAAAGGTTCTGGCGTATCAGATTGCACAGCATGGTAACCAACCAACTGACCAAAGGTTCTGGCGTATCAGATTGCCCCGGGACAACCGTTATGCTGCGGGTTTATGACCAATTAGACGGTGGGAAAATTTAAGTGCCTGAGATTTGGGATTAAGATTAAAGACCTGACAAGGAATCTCTAGAGGGGTGGGACTTATAAAAAGGGACTGTTGGACAGGACTGGAGAGAATTCAGCCGGGCGGAGGGCAAGTCGGACAGTCTAAAGATAGACATGACAGTCAGAGCAGTGTTCCAAGGTCTTGATTGTGGAGCAGATCAAAATAAAGTGAAAGGCTAAGAGTCAACGTGAGTGTTGTAGTAAGAGAGAGTAAACGAGGTTACCATCCACATAAAGTAGATAGACGAACGAGGCGTGACACTCAGTTTCCTTACAATATTAATATATATGCAGTAAATATTAACCATATAGGAAGTAAATATAAACCACATAGTAATACCTGAATTCATTAATTAAATGATGCATATTGATGAAAAGTAAATTAATGTCTTCCAGTTTTTCTGCTCGCTTTGGTGATTCTGGGGCTCTGATCAACACATCCAAGAGATCTAAAAAATTTACCTGTGAAATACAATATTGTTTAAAACCATTGAAATATGTTACATTAAGAAATGGCGTCAGCGGGCCGTGGAGCTTGCACTCTTAATGCCCTCCCCAAAACACCCCTCCCCAACCCGTCACGGATATCCCTTTGTCAGGACGGCCCCCACCCGAGTCTGCTCGACCAGGTCTCCGCCGGGGGCCGTCCTAACCCAAAGACACCCGGTTGGTCCGACACTGTGTTTACACACAGTGCACACGATCGACTTTCTCAGGTGTTGGGATGGAAAAATGTACGTCCCAATATCTTCCCCCACCCATCCCGGGGAAGCGTTAGATGCCCTATAAGAGGGATTCTATAGTGGGTTTCCACAACGCAACTAATTCGCGATGCAGCTGGGACGAAACGGTTGCCTTGGAGCAGCTTCTCAGGGCTGCGTTGTAAGAATCATCGGCCAGAGGTTACCACCTTCGCTTCTTGCCTCATATCCATGAACTGCAACTTGTGATCATGATCCCTACCCTGTCTCTGCCTATTGTTCCAGTTGGGAAATATCACAACTGGCAGCCCTGTAGGAGCTGTTTTAAGTATGGCAGGTACTGAGCACATCCCTTGTCTGCCCACGCAGGACACACCCAGTAAATTTGTCCCCCGGGTAACACCAAGGGGGTCGGTGGCCGACGCCTCCTAATCGACAAGTCACCACAGACTTGTCAACTGGAGCCGGGGGGGGGGGGGTGTTTAAAACCATTGAATTTTGTGATCAAATCAGATGTTCATAAAATACCAAAAGTTGTTGCTGCCTATATTTTCAGACAGGAAACCTTATATTCTATGCTATTATATTTTATGCTATTATAACCCCCGGGTAACACCAAGGGGGGCGGTGGCCGACGCCTCCTAATCGACAAGTCACCACAGACTTGTCAACTGGGGCCGGGGGGGGGGGGTGTTTAAAACCATTGAATTATGTGATCAAATCAGATGTTCATAAAATACCAAAAGTTGCTGCTGCCTATATTTTCAGACAGGAAACCTTATATTCTATGCTATTATATTCTATGCTATTATAATCTAGCATAATGATGTAATTCATCATTGGTATTTATTTTTAAACCAAGCAAAAAAAGGCCTATTATTTGAAATATGAAAATTAAAATCCTGAAGTCAACATTTAAAAATACATTGTTATTTCCAGTGTTTTTGTAGTGGGTCTTTCATATTGATCATATTTAGAGCATTGTTGAACACCACCAGTAGAAATAAGTTAGAATAACAAGAATAATTCAAGGACTCTTATTCATTATTTCAATCTCACCATTATAGAATGATTTAACCTCACCATTATAGAGTGATTTAACCTCACCATTATACAGCGATTTAACCTCACCAGCATAGAATGATTTAACCACACCATTATAGAATGATTTAACCTCACCAGTATAGAATGATTAAGCTTTTTCAGTTCTCTCTTATGGTCATAGTTGTGAGGATACAGCCTGCGACAGCCTGATGCTTCAAGAGGGCGAATAATAGCTTCATCGGCAGAGAAGTGAGCTCCAAACATGGTGTAAGCGTCCTACAACAAATAGTCACACCATTAGTAAGGAAATTAAACATCTAAACAATAGAAGATGAGGAACAAATTATTTTTAAGAATTTAGAACATTGACAACATGTTGTTATATTTATTGTTTATTCAATGGGCCCTGGCTCTATTTTTTTATCATTTATGATTGGCCAATTAAAATAATTGTGGACCTCTGTGGGATTGTAGGAAAAAAACTGTGGGATTGTAGGAAAAAAAAAGTCCCAGCAAAAAGTAACATAAAAACTTTTTATTAACCATAATTTTATTTGTAAGTCCATATAAATGATTATGATAGACTAATACTTAGTAATTTGAACCAAAATTAACAAAATATTTTAAGAAAGTGATAGCGAAAGAATAACAAAATATGAAAATCAAATGCATTTATACAAATATATATGCATTGATAAGTATCACCTAGATGAAATCATATATAACTGATGAATTTACAAAGTTAGGTTGATACAGAAAAATACAAAATAGTATGTTGGAAAGTAGGTCAAGATGTCCCCTCTTGTGAACATTTGTAAGAATATTACAATTTTATGACAAAATAGTCATTTACCTTTCATAATGCAAAAGCACTGACCTCCAAAAATTAAAAACTCATTCTCATGCACCAAATCCCATTATAAATTTTTGCCTTTTCAAATGACCTTTACAAATATTAGAAATTAATGGGTAAATATTAGGCATCTTTCCCTACAAAATTTCATATGAAGTTCAAATTATATGTCTTTCATATTAATATTAATTTTACCCCTGTAAAATATATTGATGTATATGTGTGCTAATTCTCATTGAGCTGGGAAATGTCAGCCATTAGTTATCCTCATGTAAGTGACCTGCATTGCCATAAGGCTGCGACTATTCATACCCAGGAACCAGAAGTGAGAGGTTGGGATTAAAAATTTTATTGTTGAGTTTGTAAGACAAAATGAGGTATCAAATGAAAGATAATTGAATGGACTACATGTTTGTAAACATAATTCTTCAGTTTAACTAAAATAAACTACCATAAAATCCGAACAGCACCGAGTCAAAATGGACCCAGACACGCAGCGCCACCATTTGCACATGGGTACCATTACATTCAAGCTATTCCGATGTCATTTGTATATTTAAAACTATTTACATGTCAAGCATGGATGACACTCAATAGCATCGTTTTTTGGTCAGTGGAGGAATCAGCCAGGATAGTAGAGATTAAAGAGATGTGTTTTGAGTGCAGTTTTGAAGGCTGTGATGGTCGGTATTCTGCGGATTTGTAATGGAAGAGAATTCAATTTTTTGGGGGCACAGACAGAGAACGATCGTTCACCGTATGTTTTGTGCTAGTCTTGGGGACAGAAAGAATATGCGCATCTGCGGAGGTGCACAGCTGACGAAGGGGTGAATAGACAGAGAGAAGTTTGGTTCGATAGGAAGGGGAAGAATTCGAGAAAAAGTTGTGGCAGAGAACAGAGAGTTTGTGGTCAATCAGTGCTTGTACAGGGAGACAATGAAGTGAATGAAGTAGTGGTGTGACATGATCACGTTTTTTTAATTTTAGAATTAGCCTAGCGGCTGAGTTTTTAACCTTTTGTAATTTTTTTAAGAAGTGTTTTGGTGAACCTGATAGAGGAGAGTTACAATAGTCAAGACGAGAGAGAATGAAAACACAGACTAGGGTTTTTGTTGCACTAAATGTGACGTATTGGCGGATGGAGCTGATCTGGCGAATAGTGGTGTAAGCAGAGCCACAAATGTGAAAGATATGATTATCGAGACATGTTATTAAACAGAATATAACCAAGATTCCTAGCAGAGAACGTAAACTGTATATCGGAGTTATCTACATAAAATGAAGAGAGGAGAGCTGAGTTAGAGGATGATTTGTGATCGTGAATAAGGAGTGCTTCTGTTTTTCATCGTTGGCTTCAACTTACTGAGTGTCATCCATGTCTTAAATCATCAATGTTCTGCCAGAGAGGTAGCCAAACTGATCCATAAATTCCAAAGTAATTATCAAGGATTTTGTAAAGGGTTTCATGGTATACAGAGTCAAAGGCCGCACTGAGGTCTAAGAGGATCAGGATGGAAATATCACCGCTGTCCAATGCCAGCAAGAGGTCATTGCTGACTCTCAAGAGAGCTGTCTCAGTGCTATGGAAAGGTTTATAGGCCGACTGATTAGGACTGATACGAGAGTGGTCGTTTTAAGTAAGCAAAAAGTTGTTTTTAGAACTAGTTTTTTTCAATGACTTTTAGATAAAAATGGTAAGTTAGATACAGGAATACAGGTCTATAGTTTTTTTAATTATTTTCATCCAGACCAGGCTTCTAAAGCAATGGATTGATGACAGCTGACTTACAAATAGAGGGAACAGTGCCAGAAAATAAGCTTTCATTGACTACATGGGTTATCGTTGGGAGTAAATGATCTAAAGACTCAACCAACAGGGGGGTATGGAGGGGGTCCAAAGAACATGACGTAGGTTTAGACTTAAGAATAAAAATTTTGACCTCTTGTTCTGAAACCGGTTGAAAAACTTCAAAATGTGAACTAACACAGAAAAAAGGAGGCAAATCTAGGGATGATATGTCAAGACGATCAAGCTCAGATGCAGATATTTGGGCTCTATTTAATTACTACCACTATTTACAACAAAATATTTGATAACTTGTGTTTTAGAATGAACTTAGATGTAATTTAAACAATAATATTTTAATTTGAGGCCCAAAACCCTGGTTGAGTCCATGTTATAAATTATCACAATTTGTCGTGTGCGAAACGTCATGGCCAACCATTTAGTCACTTACATAATGGCTATACCGTAGTACTAGCTAAGAGTTTCATTCATAAGAGTTTGCCGTGTGCAAAAAACTATTAAACCATTGGTCAGTGAAAGCTTTAATTAATTAGTCAATAAGTCATGTGCCAAAGTTGAACGTTCAAAATATGTAGTCCCTAAACAGTATTTAGTAATAAGGGGATGCGTTGCCTTAATATAGACTATATAGTACATACCGGTATAATGGATGACGTAGACTTGGTAAAGAGAATAATAGGGGTGTGCCGGATCCGTTTTTTCAATCCGGATCCGGATTTTGTTATGCGAAATCCGCCGAATCCGGATTCCGGAATTATCCGGATTCCGGTTTCTCCCGGATTCCGGATTTTGGTACTATTGGCCACTATTAGCGGTGCTGACTCTAGCCTCTGGTATGTTCGGAATATTAAACATTAAACAAGCTCAACGCTCGAAACAATCGATTAATGTATCGTTGTTATAGAGAGCTTGTTTACATAATATTTCTCGTGCGTGCCCTCAGATTGACCCCGCATGAGACGCTGTGTTCACAAAGGGGTGTGGCTTAGGCCCGTGTTTTATTCTTTGTGTATTTGTGAGCTTATATGTGTTTATTTCGCATTATTTATTGGCACATTATTCTAACTGTGTTAACTGTGTACCGGTACAAGATCTACCATACTGTAAGTTGAAGATTGTAATTATATTTTCTTTTCTTTTGTAATTAGAATTAATAAATATTATTAATTGTAACTAGAAACTGTTTTGGGTCGTATCTTTATTATTGTTGATTCTATGGTATCGTCCTTTGTTAGGCACTGCTTACAACGCGCCAATTAAAATTAAAAGAGGAGATTAATTTCTCCCAACACAAATCCGGTATATTCCGGATTCCGGTAGTTCCGGATACATGTAAATCCGGCGGAACCGGATTTCACCGGATAGTGCAAAATCCGGCGGTAACGGATTCCGGACCGGATTCCGGCACACCCCTAGAGAATAATAATATATTATATTAAATTTACTGATATACATTATAGTGCATAATTAGATAAATTACAATTTATTTATAAATTGCATAAGATTATTCAAATTACTTATTTTTCTGAAAATAAAAGTTGTATAAAATTATTGTACTGTACACGATGCCAATCACCGGAATGGGGTCACAAGTGACAATAACAAAGTGTGGAAGTTTTGCCCATTTATGAAAAAAAAAAATTTACAGAAATTTTTTTTTTTTTCCTAAGAAATATAATGATAATTTAGCTTCCCTGTAAATTTAAGATTTTTTTCATCAAGTTTTTACAGAGTTATAGCTTATTCTAAAAATTACCAAAAATGGGTCACAAAATAGAAAGCAAAAATACTTAAAATAGTCATTTTAAATACATTTGGGAAAGGCAGTGTCCATATGTCCGGCGACTGGACAAATAGTGTGGGAGATATTCATCGAGAAGGCCTGTCCGCTTTACTTCCTTTTAACATTGGTCATTGTCACTTTTTAACCATGCCACTTGTTGTTCATTATAATATACCAGCAATGGTTCTAGTATTTGTTTTGTAGAATTGAATTTATTTATTTTTCATGTAAATGTCCAGACAATCTTCAATTTGTTGAAATGAAGTAAACTCTGATAGAATATTTTATTCGCGGTTACTTGACAAATCTGACGGACAAATATATCGCGCAAATGATAAAATCTCACGCAACTTTGTTACAGCAGTCATGTGACTGAGTTGAATATAAATAATATCCGGATGAATATCTCGAGAACTTATTCATCTGGTCACCGGAAATGTAGACACTTCAATGTTCATTGAGGAAAATACTAAACTACCCCAAATTTAATTTTTTAAAATTCATTTTATTACTTTAACACTACTAGGCACTCCAATACTTTCGCCGCCCGTGTTAGAAAAACGAGGCCTGCCGAGCGGCGATCGCTGTGATCAGCCGGCGCTTTTCGTTTTCGGTAGATCTTGGTGATTAGTGTTGTTTTGCGTCATTTCTAAAAATAGAGGACTCTCCTTGGTTTTATTTAAATCTGCGATGCATGCCGGTTACGAGGGTATGAATTAAGTGGAAATCTGACCTTGCTGAGACGAATAATTGGAAAGTTGACGTGGGGTAAGTGAGTTTGCTGTGCTATATTTTTTTTTTCAAATCGCGTTCGGACTTGGAAATTACTTGTTCGCATAGATTATATATTTTAAAAGCAGAAACACTTATTTTAAAGAGTATAGATCGTCCCCAAAATTTATGAGAGCTTGAACCGTGTGACTAAAAATTCAAGGTTGCCAAGTCGTGGCCATTTTTTCCCCCTCGATCTACCGGAAGTGGTAAATCTCTAATGTAAACAGTGGTTATTATTATTTAAAACCTTTTTCAAACAACTAAATAAATATTTCCTGTATTATAACTTAGTAGTTTGATTTTAAATATATACTTTTTAATAACTGGTTTTTAATAATAATTACACTTTAGGCCTATATAGTTATTATATAAGAGCAGGCTTTGGATCAATAAAACTAATACATATACTGAGATAAAACAACAAAGTCAAAGTGATAAAAGTGCTTTGACATACAAATAGCAATGAATTAGATAGTAAGATATCCCCTAGTCCTAGTTATTATCAGCTATAAGTGTACATATAATAAAGAACATTGTGAAGCCTATTTAAAAATATTGAATCATTATTTACATGTACCGGTATTCATAAATTAATAGTCCTAATCTTTATTTTTTATTTTCCAGAGTTACAGATTGTAATCACTCCCTGTAATTTTGATATGTATTTACTTGGAGGAGATCAACAAACAACCCAATTTGATATTGACAATGGAGGCATATTTTTTTAATGTACCAATTGATGAGGATGAAGTGTTGCTAGACCTCCGGAGCCGAAACAATGTCGACAGATTACATGACATTTTAAAATTTTGCATAGCATGATTTTAATTGCTTTTGATATATTTTAATACTCTATTATATTTGGTTGGACACTATCTATTTTTACTGAAAATTTGATTGCATTAGCTTTATTAGTTTAAAAGTTGTATATTTAAATGTAAAAAATTTCTCGGCCGCAGTTGCTTTTCATAAAATATTATTTCTACTACTGCATAAATTTTTCTGATCTGTATTTTATTTATGTTAAATATGCCTTACTTTTAGATGGACATTATCTGTTTGTATTGAAAATTTCATAGTGATAGCTTTATTGGTTTAATAATTATGTCATTTTTTGAAGAAAAAAATTTGTTCGACAATTGTCGTTATCCATGCTATATGCTTATAAAAAAATTTTTCAAAAAATATAATAAGTTAATTCAAAATTCATGTGTTTAATTTTGTTAAACATTGTATTGTAAATGTGTTCTCCAAATTTGAGCAGTATAACTTTAAAAGCCAACAAGATACAACCAAAATAGTACAAAAAGAGTAATAATTAGATCACAGTTTTAAAAATTAAATACAAAGCCAAATAGTGGGAAAAAATAAATCACTAAAAAATTCATAACTTTTCTTCTACAAGTGATAGAAAGATTATCTTGGTGTCAATGGAAAGCTTAAAGTCAGCTCTTTCCAATGATATGCTCTTTGTGTATGTCAGATGTATCTGAAATTTTGAGTTGGAGTACCTAACACTACAATACTACAACAGCTAAAAATTTGACTTTGGTTTTATAATTCTGAAAAAAACTGAGCTATATAATATATTCAACTATGCAATTGATTTTTTTTTTTACAAATATATATATATATTTTTAAAAAAATCAAAGTATCTTATGGAAGGGTTGGGCTTTTAGTTTAGAGTTCTTTCTAGGCACTTTTAGTTTAGGGATTACACACACTCAGACTGGCACTGTGGGCACCGATTTTCCTTTTGAATTCATAATCATGATCTGTGGCCTACCTGAATTGGTGGAGGTGGCAATGGAGCTTTTCCTCTTTTCATGTTATCATCAGAATAGTTGTTTACATACTGCATGGGTGGCATAGGAAATGCACTACTAACTCCTTGCCCCTCAGTCATATTTATTGTTTATCCGCCGATTGTCGAATGAGGACGAGTGACGACTAACAGCTTGTGAACCTAAATACCAGTAGACACCGTTAAATTTAATCGTGAGACGAAAATTCGCGATTGCTCCTCTGACACTTTATTTTTAGTCAGTTTAGGTAAATATTTTTTAACAATTTTAAATTACAATCTCTAATATGTTTTGATAATGGTGAAGAAATGGAAACTAACATGAATCATAGCTATACCTGATTTCAATATAGGGGACGTCCATTAATTAAGTCAACAAAAATAGACATAAGAGGGGGGAGGGGCAGGGGCGGTGGAAATGTTTGACAGTTATAATGTTGAAAAGGGGGAGGGGGGTTAGATTAGTTGACGTCAACAATCATGTTTTCTCTATTAAAATTTTAATCTTAAAATTTGACTGGTTATTACATTTTAAAAAAAAGAAAAGTATAAGTGTAAATAGTCATATAATTTTTAGGCTTTTAGCACACTTTTTTTTAGTGGAAGAGGAGTCAAAAGTTGGCCTCTCTCCACCTGTGGATTCTGTTTGTCGAAAATAATGTGGCAATGTGCCACTATATAAGAGAATCCACTCTCATAGTGTCACTGCTATGGGTAACCCCAAGCACGTACACATCCATTATCCATGGTCATTCAACGTAACACTCAGCCGTGTACTGGCCTTAAATTTTATGTAGGTTATTTAGACGCGGGAATAACCATCCCTGCTACGGGGTTGACCCATGGTCAGCTCGGACGCGGGTTCCCTGTGACTGTGTGTGTGTGTGGGAGGGGGGGCGCAAACTGGGACTTGAGGTGTGTACATTTTTGAGATTGTGGTGTGGAACGGATGCGTCGGGTCGATGGCAGGTGTGAGAGATTTTCCTGTCGGCTCTGTCAACGCATTGTACCTTTTACATTAAAAGCTATAGTTCTCAGACCTGATTGTTTTATTGTGATTTCATTTAAACTGTAAGCTACGTCATCCACTCGGCTACAGTTTTGGCGTTGTCGGCAGGATTCTTTGAGGACAGTTTTAAAGAAAAGGTAACACAATCATAGACAGAACACACATAGACCGACCGATGGAGAAAAGTGCAGTAGAACAGTTTCACCTAGCCAACAGTCCACCCAAGCTGTCTAAATTTAATGGCGAGTGCAATGCAGAGCAGTTTGTGAAGGAAGTAAGGTTATTCCTGCAACTTCAGCCGATGCCCGCAACCTCAGCGGTCATCTGGATAATAGGTGCCCTGGAGGGACGTGCTCGTCAGGACATTTTGGACCAAGCTGTTGCTACGATAGACACTCCAGATAAACTACTGCACTTGATTTTGCAGAACTGGGGTGATCATCGTGACGTCACAACTCTAGCGGCCGCATTCTACCGTAGACAACAATACCTTGGGGAAACTGTCGAGGACTATGCGAAAGAATTGCGCAACATCTTCATGTTAGCTAATTCTGCACGACCTGGCATTCTCCCAGAAGACATACTGCGTGACGTATTCATCCAAGGTCTCCAACCACCCACACTACGCAGAGATGTCAAGGCCTACGCAAGGCTACACACTAGCCGCTCATTTGATGACGTCCGTAGGGAAGCACAACGGTGGATGCGTGAGTACATTTCTGATGTCGCCACCGCCCAGCTCTCAGCATCACCGTCACCTTACCTGACCCAGCTGACAACACAACTTATGGCTCGTATCGACCATCAAGTAGCAGCATGGGAAGAAAGGTATCACCCTCCATCGTATAGGCCTGAAAGGGACCGGGACGTCCCGTTTACCGAGTCTACACCAGCACCTACACCGCAGCAACGACATAAGCGCAAGCGACAACCTACACGCACGGATGTGTTATGTCGTTGGTGTAGTCGTAGAGGTCACACAGAGCAGGTATGCTGTGCCAAGAAAAATTACATTTCTCAAAGAAATGGACAACCACAACACCCCAAGAGGCGACGGTCAAAAAGGAAATCCAAGATGCCATTTGTCCATGATGCTGCTCACGACCAGCCTACTGCTGGTCAGCATGTGTCAACATATGTAAGAGAGCCTGGTCAGTTTAGCCCTACTGTTGTTGGAACTAAATCTGAGAATGTGCGATCCACAAACTCAGACGCAAATACGATTCTTAAACTTCAACCCGAAAGTGTGACTAATACAGCTGGTCATATTGACCTTCGAAATATTAGGAAGAGATCAACAGTTAATTTTTCTGACATTGTTTTACAGGATGGTTCTGTTAGTGTTGCACCAAAACAACTGGCAGTTTGCCCAGATGTTGAGAGAAGAACCGTTATCATGACCCACACAGTAACACTAAAAACAAAGACACACGTTTTTAATTCTAAGGGAGAACTTCTGAATGTTTTTGAGAAATCTGAAATTTTATTAAAAAATGAAAGTGATCCAATTGAAGAAGCCCATCAAATCACAGAGGATTCAATCCCTACCGTGGTTTCGCCACCACCAACTTCCAGTACAATGAGTACAGGGCACCTGGACGATTTTAGCTCATCCTCACAAACCAGGACATTAAGTTTAGATTCAAAATCAACCGTGTCCAGTTTAGATGCTATCCCATCAAGACAGGTTTCACCACAACGGCATGACACATGTGTACCTGTCATTGCTGCTCCCCAACATTCATCACCCTCACGAGGTAAACACGTGACCACAACGCAAGTAGTACCTCCACCAGTGGTACCTCCACCAGTAGTACCTCCACCAGTGGTACCTCCACCAGTAGTACCTCCACCAGTGGTACCTCCACCAATAGTACCTCCACCAGTAGTACCTCCACCAGTGGTACCTCCACCAGTAGTACCTCCACCAGTAGTACCTCCACCAGTTATACCACGCAGATCACTTAGCATCGCAAATCAAGAGAAACGGAATTAAGGCAGTGGCACAAAAAGACACTAGTCCTAGTTATTGTTTATGCTAAGTGTTTTAATTTGTTTTTAAATATTCGATCGTTCTTTAAATTTTTATTACAAATTAGTAGGCCCAGCGGGGACGCTGGGATTTAAACAGTTGGGGTGGATGGGGCAATGTGCCACTATATAAGAGAATCCACTCTCATAGTGTCACTGCTATGGGTAACCCCAAGCACGTACACATCCATTATCCATGGTCATTCAACGTAACACTCAGCCGTGTACTGGCCTTAAATTTTATGTAGGTTATTTAGACGCGGGAATAACCATCCCTGCTACAGGCGAACTGGGACTTGAGGTGTGTACATTTTTGAGATTGTGGTGTGGAACGGATGCGTCGGGTCGATGGCAGGTGTGAGAGATTTTCCTGTCGGCTCTGTCAACGCATTGTACCTTTTACATTAAAAGCTATAGTTCTCAGACCTGATTGTTTTATTGTGATTTCATTTAAACTGTAAGCTACGTCATCCACTCGGCTACAATAACTAGGGCGGTATGTTTGCGATCGTGTTGCACCTATGGAACAAGGAAAAGGTTCATGTGTCATGTGCAGTCAAGATAAATGATTTAGATAGAGTAGAAATACAAAATTTTAATAATTAATGGAAAGTAAAGTGAGTAGCAATAATAACATCGCTGTTGGAACGGATTTGCAAAAATCTGTAACATATATATATATTTTGCATCACACGTCATGTTGAAAATGCATGTTCAACATCTCCTACAATGCCCCCTTGAGCATAAGAAATTCACACCTGCTCCTCAACAAAAAAGGATTCGACCAAAGCGATTAGCTGCAAGAGAGAGCTTATGCTTAATATTGCTCACACCGATAATGCTTCTATTTTAAGTGCTGAATGGTTAGATAAGGATGGTGTTGACATGTCTGGTATATCAGTTCCACAAGATGAAAATGATACATCAGTTACTATCAGGGGCGTTATTTTCAATAAATATTTATTATTTCTCACGCTGACTGACTGATAATGCTGTGTAGCAAATGTATGTGTGTGTGTGCACCTGTGTTTTTCTTTTCATTTCATTTGTTGAATTTTTATTTTGAAATGTAACTGCTATTTACATGGATCGGACTCGTTCCTTAATGTTACTAGACTACACTCTGGCTACACCACAGCTACATAACATTTCAACAAATGATGCAGATGTTGGCAGCTAATTTGGTATACATATTTTGGCAGTTTCATAAGCAACCATGTTTTCATAGCAAGACTTTGTGAGACACAACTGCAACCTATTTTCAAATTAATCTGTATTTAAAAAACTTATTGGGTTGGGATGATTTTTAGTAATCATTTTTTTCGAAGGTGTTCAGTACATCTGTCCGAGAGGTGCCCCCGAGTCTTACAGAGATAATTGTTTTTAATTTTAATAAAATAACACATTTTTAAAAAAGGAAATAGAAGCTTTATAGAAATTTATTAGTCTTTTAAAAAAATAATAATGATTAAATGATATCTCTAAGGCAAACCAAATTGTAAAAAGGCAATTTGACCAAATTTAGCCGTAGACTATTAATTGTTTATTATGGCCAGGCCCACGGTTGTTGGCGCCCCGGGCAAGCTTAAAATTTGCGCTTTCTTTTTTAACAACCAATGAACCATTGTTATTTTTTTTTCTTCTTAATTTGTATTTGGATATTATGAACAATCAGCTTGCCGATGATTTTTTTTCTTCTAAAGTTTAGATCATCAAATCTTTTGATTGCACTTTCTCTATTTATCCTCTTTGCAACATCACTTTTCCCACGGCCGGCGCTAGACATTTTAGGTTGGGTGAAATTAGGCAATTGTCGCTCTCTGGAATATTATGGGAAGAGTTCAGAATTTTTTGTTATTTCAACAAATTTTGCAGCCCTGTGTACCCGCCTTGAGCCGATCCTGCATTTGTCTATAGACAAAATTGCCAAAGAATTTATTCTGTCTTGAGACATGGAGGATCGTAAATATGGTTTTAAAAGCTTTAGTTTTCTAAAGCCTCTCTCGCCAGCGGCTACAGTAATAAGTATTGTAAGAATTATTCTTAATGCTATCCAAATTTTCGGCATTACTTATAGGTGCTAATGAATTGAGTAGCTTCTACTGGAAGCTTTACATCA